AGCCATAAAAAATCAATAAGATTATCCTCATTTGCAACTGATAACTTTCAAATCTTAGAGGTTTAAGATAAAATTAGAGATTTTTAAAAACGTGCAAAAGATAACCGACATCGGAAAGAGTACAGAAAGTTCGATTACTGACCATGTGTCATATGGACAACACTCCTTGTGTGGTTGTCTTTGATTATCTGTCTCATGCATTATTTCCAATTCCTTCCGCCCCCCCTCCCCCCAACCACAACACTACAGAGAGAGGCACACACACAGAGAGGGAGAGAGAGAGAGAGAGAGAGAGAGAGAGAGAGAGAGAGAGAGAGAGAGAGAGAGAGAGAGAGAGAGAGAGAGAGGGGAGTGAGGGAGAGAGAAACACACACACACACCTATACACATCATGTACTGACGTAGCCCTTAAACTCAGAACACATAAATCAAACTGCAGACACTCACTGTCTTTGGTATATTTAAGTATTCATTTTGTGTCTTTCCATTCCATAAAAGTGAGTGAGGGTCACAATGTAAAGTCTCAAAGACTCAGATCGAAAACAGAAGGAAAATGCACACAGTGCTAACATTCATGAATTACTTAACACGAAAATGTCAAGCTAAAAATGTAATCATATGCTATTACATATGCATTTAAGTAGTTAGCATCGTCATGATTTTATGATATCATATTATGATATAAATAACCAAAGATGAACACAAATGTACAAGAAAAGTGCATTTGATTAACATTAATTTGATTTACACGTTATCATAATTTAAAGACATATTGGCACACACGTTTATTAGCTTACTACCTGGTCTTTGATTTTGTAGTGCTCTATCGCCAAAGCCACATGGTCCACATTCGGGTCTGACGGGTTTTCACATTCTGGGAAAACGTAGGAATCCAGGAAGTAGGGAATTCCCTCTATGTGTTCGGGAAATCCAGCAGGCAAGTTTTCTCTTGTTCTGGGTGTGTAACTGAATCCTGGGGTGTCCTTAATGAGCCTGTGAAATGTAAAATGCAATATATTTAGTTTCACGATTTGACGGTTTGATAAAAATGTTTGGGTGCCAGCAACGGTACAAGGCCATATGAGCGCGATATGTAGTTTTTTTCCCCCTTTTATTTGTAAGCAAGCCACACATGTCGGACTTATCAGAATTAGATTACTTCAAGAACAGAGATCTATTCACAACCGAAAGAAATAACTTGAGACAAAGGACTGGTGAAGGGGATCAAAGGAACACCAAACTAAATAAATATCACGAAAGAACATTTAAGCAAAAGCGTTGCTTAGTAGTACAGCGCCATTCTTAAGATTGATTGTCACTCCAACTTTACTGGAGGCAGTATTCCTTTTTGTCACTCTTAACCTTGTCACAATCAGCGTCTGTGGTGTAGCAGTTATGCGCTTCGCTGTCGCACTCAAGAGACCCGAGTTCGATTCCCGAGTGGGGAGAATTTTTACTGAGTACCTCGATCTTTCTACTAGGATCTTGTATCCCTCTCAGTCCGGGTTGGTCCTAATAGGCAGGGTCAAAGCCAGCCTCCTAAATCATATTAATAATTGTGTCGATGTAGGTATAGAAGTACCTGCACTCTTGGTGTAGACATGCAATTATCATAAACAAGACATGTAGGAGGTTTGATTGGTTTGATTGGTCGCGGTGTAATTCATGCATTCTTTAAAAAAACCCAACCAAAATGGAGCTGTGAAGTGCAAAACGACCATTGCCCCCTCAGTAGAAGGCTCTATTCAGTCGTCGGTGAGCGCTGTCATTCATTATTAAGTATTATCCTGTGTCAAGTAGTTACTAACGAAACATTAAATAATTATGGGCTACCCATTGTAATACACACCACACTTCATTAATCTTATTAGTAAAATATTCAAACCCGGCTGCATCCCTGGAGAACTGGATCCGATCCTAACAGGGAACTTTGCAAACGTATAAGAATTTATAAACTGTCGGGTTATGTTTTTATTCCTTTTTTGCCGTGTTTTACAAGACACATGTTTTACAAGACACAATATTGCGTTCGTATGTTTTTCAAAACATTCTCTTGTGGGATTTCTTTCGGTCGTTTTTCGGAAGGGGAAGGGGAGGGATAGTTGTTTATTATTATTTTTTTTTTTTCGCTTTTTGGTTTTGTTTTTCGACGACAGCGTATTTCTTCGGCTACTAGAACCCCTGGTGGGGCCATTTATAATCTGATCCTTCGAGGCCTTGAATACAGAACTTAAACGTTCTGACCAAGTTGTAACAAAAAGTACGTCAGTCTGTATCAAGTCACAATACATTTGAAATCCATAAAACGAGTTGCTGACAACACAATATCTTCGACAATCCGTTCTGGAAACCAATCTCATGACAACACGCTACATGCAAAAATCGTTATGAATATTTATATTTTCATTAAGTCCAGAAAATCACGACACAAGACAGCGTGCCAAATATCCGAGAGGAAAGTTCAAAGAGTCACGCAACCTTTCTTGTGTGACGCAACTAAAGGGTCACCTCATTCAGGAAGCGCTCTTTCTACTCGGGTTTTACACATGAATACACCTCGCTCTTCCTACATCTCGCTTTCCTACCCAGCCTGTAAGTCCCCAGACTTCTTTCCGACGAATTAATTATTCAAACGGACCGTAGAAATAGGACTGAATAAACAATGGTGAATCGGTAGCATTTGCTTCCCACTTTTGAGACGTCAGTTCATAGTGCATATATCATTGAGACATCTTTAACAGTCCCTTAATAATACTTAACAGTGAATTCATAATAATAAGTTTTGTATCACGGTTTGTCAACTCATTGTTAACTGGAGCAAAGGAAGACAGCAATGTATCGGAGCCATCCGTATAAATAGCCTATACTCACGCATCCCCTTAATAAGATACTATTAATTGTTGATTGTCGAAAATTCAACAACTAAAAAAGTCAAAAGTCAAAACTTGGTAATCATTGGCCTGTTTCACACATCCGAGGTCTCCTTTCTCAGTTGGGCTCCATCTTGGTTACAGTGACATAAGGCAAGAAAAACAGGTTTAATTTATGTTAAAGAAAGGGAGGATCAAAATTTACTGTTACATGCAAAAAAACAAAAAAGACAAAAAGAAGCTTTTTAGCCATATAATAATGGATCAAAAGAGACCGCGGATGTAACGTTTATAAAAAGATTCAGCTGAGCACTCAAGCAGTTCTGATTAGCAGCCTTATGGGGCCTCTTAATATGGTGTTGTCAGTAAACTATAACTGAAGGCTTGGGACACTTTATATTAGAGAGGTTTCAATTTTTCTGGGGAGTGGAGGTGAGTCATAAAATTATATATTACTGGTTTTGGTGTTCTTGTTCGTATAATTCGACACTGTCTATGATAGCTATCTATTGTTGAATTACCTAGGAGAAAAGAAGGTCGTCTCACACATTTAGACGTCTCACAGAGTGTCCTTATAATGTATAAAAACGCAAAGTACATGTGGGTTTTTTTTTGGGGGGGGGAGAGCAGAATGGGAAGTGAACATATGCAAGGCTACGTTATTGCCTTACATACAGGTGGACGTTAGAGCAGGTTCGACTGTACGAAGCTTTGGTTTGATGCAAGGGTGTGCATTTTATGACCCTGTGGAGGTATAATATTTCCTGATTATGTAGGTTTTAAAAAATCCCAAAAGGTCGAGTTCGTGCTGAGGATTATGTTTTGAGATCGCACAGTTTATTAAATACCAGTTTGTGAAATCGTCTTTCCTAAAAAACTCTTTTTATGTGTAATGAATATATTGTAATGCGTTTGTTATTTATCATCCAGGTTTAGATTTTTCTTAATCTGCTTCATTACAACCTGTTTTTTGTGGTAGGGGGGTGGCGGGGAGGTGCGTCTTACTTTAATCGGAAAATCTTTGATTAATCTGGCATCCAGATCATATATGACATTTGCAATTTTGTTCTGCTTAGTCAACGTCTGATCGATATCTCGGTGGATGTCGAAATGGGTATATTGTTGGACCCAGGTTTTGGGTGGGTGAGGGGGGTAAGGGGGGGGGGGGGGACGTGACATCCAGTTCGAATTCTATCAGGCATATTGCCTTAACAAATGTCGCAATTCTAATTTTTCATAACTGTTCATTAATTGACTATTATATCGGGAATGGACGATGAACCAAACTTTCCACTTCAGTCTTAGTTGAAAAGAATTAAATGAGCCGTAACTTCGAAACCTCTAGTAGTCCACAAATAAACAACTTTAGTGAGTGGTCAGAGAGCGCTACTGGTCTTCTTTTGTGTTCTTCACCGCAAGATCTCAGGGGTAGTCCTCTTACTGGTCTTCTTTTGTGTTCTTCACCGCAAGATCTCAGGGGTAGTCCTCTGCTGATTCTTCAACCTGCTGTGAAATTGAATTTTACTTATGTGACCGTTTTTCCTACTTCCTTGGCCTCTTGCCATCAGGAAAGTCCCACTTCTTTTATCTCCATCTGTTGCTTCTGTCTGTCTATATAACTGAAACTGTCCAAGATGATTAACTGATCATCGTCGAGGAGAAAAGCGAATATCTGAGATGGGTGGTCCTCTTAGACATAGTTGTAATTACATGTATCTAGAAAAAAATGTGGGGGAGGAAATGGGTAGTGATATTGGTCTTGGACAGGTGGTCGTGAGAGCATTGTTAAGTGTATGTTTAGAAGAAACGCTGCTCTTAACACCCGTTGGCTCACTCAGGCATTAAAGAAATTTACCAGTGTCTGAGGTGTAGCGTTTAGACGCTACACTGTTGCACGCAGAGGACCCGAGTTTGATTCCCGAGTGGGGAGAAAAATTGTATCGAGTATTTCGGTCTTTCTGCTGGGATGTTGTATCCATCTCAACGTGAGTTGGTTTGGTCCCCACAGACAGAGTCGGAAGGAAGCACACCTCTTAAATGATCCAAATTGTGTAGACGGGGCGGACGTAAAAACAACAATATTGAAAAAAGAATAGTTACCCGTAGCTGGTAGGGCTGATGTGCGTCCGCAGCGGAACACTTCCAGATTCGAATTTGTTGGCGATGGAGACGTTGTTACCGAAGAGGCAGTACCGAGGCATCTTTCTGCCTACCACACCAGCCAGAACTCGTCCTGTGTGGATGCCAATGCGCATCTGTGGAGCGGAACAAAAGACTATGTTAACAATGGAATGGATGCGGCATCTTTCTGCCTACCACTTCCTACGTCCTACTACCAACTACGTCAACCAATATTCTTCCTGTGTGGGTACCAATGCGCATCTATGGAAAGGAAGATAGGGCACTGTTAACTATGGAATTGAAAATATTTTTTTCTTTCCTATCAAGTATGAATATATATCGTCCTTATCTGTCTTCTTTCTTTTGTGTGGTTGTTGTTTACCTTCTTCAATCGTAAGTATTTCGACTTCTATTCACCTTTTTAAAAAACCAAAAACCAAGACAAATAAACACGATTTAGAGAATACAATACCGAGTAAAGAAAGAGGCGAGCTTAGGACGAGAAATGTTTGAAAGGAAAAAAAAGTAGCAAATCACAAACAACCTTTACATGTTTAGTAGACTTTAACATTTATAAAGAATGCAGAATGCTGAATGCTGTCTGAAACATTTTAGCGTTGATGCGGTACACTTTTAGAGCTTGTTTGCGTTGTTTGCGTAATTCGTAACTAAAGATTACGGAGGTGAATCTCCCCTGTGCTCTAAGAGTTTTCCTAAAGTACACCTTTCATTACAACAGAGAGAAGTCGTCATTCCACAATGCGCCTGATGTCCTGAGAGACATTTGTGTTTATTTGCACTAGATTAAGGTACACACTCGTCCAGTTTGGTTGAATGTGGAGAAATGTGACGGCCGTACTCTGATCAGACGTTTTACGAGTCAAGGCAAATTTGCTGCATTGGATTTGCCTGTGTGTAACAAAAACGGTTACGTTATTGCTTGGTCACTTGGACAAAAAATGAAAAAAATATCACCGACCTCTTGAAAAATAAACTGCAATGAGGAAAATATGTACACTCTAAAGGCATTCTTAAATCAATAATCCTGTCAGTAAATTCCATTTGACTTCTCTTGCACTCTATTATGTTAAAGTAGAGGCCTCAAAGCTAAACTACCAGGAGAGTTTGGGGTAGGGGGTGGGAGTGGGGGGTTCTGGAGGTAGAGTATGGGGGAGCCTTGGTCGCATCACGTTTTCCACAAATATTATAAAGGTTTCGAACATTAAAAGAAATACAAACGTAAAATCACGTTTCAACTTGTCAATAAAAAAACGAGAGGAAGTTGTCATGAGTCTGAGCTATGGCAGCCCATAAGTGAAGAATAAGTATAAATATCCAGGGCATCACTACTGTAAAATGATGCGTGTGAGAAAACCGTGCTAGCCGATAAAACACTAGACTTTGGTCATGATGTCAAGTAAGGGCGCAAAGTATTGTCCTGCGGGCCTCAGTTATTGACCTGCGGGTCGCCAGTGTGAGATCCCTGGGTCAGAGAGTACTGCCGTGTCGACAGAGGAGACTCCTCCACGAGTGACCGACCAATAATGTGGATCTGGGGATTTGCCTTGTTTCGTATGATGTTCGGATTAATTGAACTGTTTCGAAAGTTGTTAATTTAGTTCTAAAAGGTTCGTTGTAAAAATCGTTGTATCATTTGGAAAGGTATTTTCCTCTATTTTACTCATGTCCTTTAGCTGCAAACGAATACTTGGCAAGAGGCAAATTTGTGAAGTTAAACCTGTGTGTGCCTAACAGGTTGCAAATCTGTATATCCTCAAACAGACCAGAATTGTTGTTAGAGCCTTCATGAGGAGAAATGACAATAATAGATATGCACTGTGACTTGATATAATTTATTGTTTAATTTCCGATTTTCAGCGATGAGACAAGGTGAATTACATGCTGTGGGGTTTTGAAGAAACCAAACTTCATCGACGCTTCGAATTGTTAAGTCACTGTTCATGCTGTTCCAATATCTTGTGCATTTTTTTCCCTTATAAACCTGTACTTAAAGGAATGTTTTATAACTCTTGGCGGCGTCACCTATCCCTCTGTGTCGTAATCATCAAGTACAAAGTATTTCTGTATTTACCTCAATGATTTTAGATATAAAATATTGTAATTTCACGACAAATTGAGAGAAATGAGATGTAAAACTATTTTCCCCAAACGTCATGCGGCCTTCGAATTGTTCTACCACACTTCGAACAGCTTAAAATAGTGGGGAAAACTGTGAATGTTGAATGGTGAAGTCGAATGGGCACAGCACTAGAGTGTACCCGTACTTAACCTTAACATTCAATTTTCCGTTGAGCGAAAGTGTGCACCCATCGACACTTTGTGACGAGCGTGTCTGGAAATACTAGCATTATCGCTTTGGGGGTGCGGGGGGGGGGGGGGGGGAAAAAGGGGGGTTGAGACAGGTAGACAACACAAAACGGAACGGGGGAGGGACGGAAAGAGTTAATCCATCAACCCAACGAGATGGAGAGCAAATAGGAAACAGACGATCGCTCGACGACAAAGATCGAACGGCTGGCCTGGGATTAACATCTGCAACGGAAGGCAGCATCCCAGAATCAAAAGGTTCTATGAGTGATGCGAATACTAACCCAAAGTTGTCTGATGAGACGTTTTGACTTTGTTCAAGAGCGTATATCGACAATTCGGTAGTCAGTTTTCCGTTTGTAGCGATGATTTTTTGGGGGTTCATTCTGTCACTAGAATACAGTCGAACCTGCTTTTATGGCATTCCGTATAAGACACTCACAAGTACAAATGACCGCTTCCCATTTCCTTCCTTTGTGTTTGCTTGACCAAAGCTCCATCATGACTCTAATATTATTCCGTTTGTGGTTAGCAATATTTTTGTGAACCTACAATTTCTTATGTGTTGGGTAATGAGATCCCCATGCACCTCCATTAAAAAGTGGATTGAGAGGAGGAGGGCGGGAGAGAGAGATTGAGAGAGATAGAGAGGGATAGAGAGAGAGAAAGATATATATATAAAGAGAGAGAGAGAAATAAAGAGAAACAGAAAGAGAGAAAGGAAAAGAGAGAAAGGAAAAGAGAGAAAGAGAGAGACAGAAAGACAAAGAGACAGAAAGACAAAATGGAGTCAAGAGAGAGGGATAGACAGAGAGAGACAGAGAGAGAGAGAGAAAGAGAGGGAGGGAGAGAGAGGAGGAGGACGGGAGAGAGATGGAGAGAGATGGAGAGAGATATATATATAGAGAGAGAAATAAAGAGAACTAGAAAGAGAGAAAGGAAAAGAGAGAAAGGAAAAGAGCGAAAGGGAGAGACAGAAAGACAAAGAGACAGAAATACAAGAACGGATTCAAGATAG